TTTTTGTAGTTTTATTTGTTAGGTTTGACCCTATGTTCGAAGATTGTACGGTGTGCTTTGCAGTATTACTTGTACTCTTAGTTAATACATCTTTCATTTGATTTTGTTGATAAAAAAAATATGTAAATTTTAAATAAAATATTTTATTCATGTATATATTTAAATAAATTTTTTTAAAAATTATATCAATATTTTCTACTTAACTCACTTAAAAAAAGTTTTAATTGAAAATAAAAAAAATGCCAATTGTTGGATGATACTTCGATGTAATGGCAAAGAATTGAAATTTTACACCACCTGATATCGTGACTTGATGTTAGGCTATTCTAATTCCCATAACTTTAAAATCGATTTCTAAATGCCAACAAACAAATAAAAAACAAAAAACAAAAAATTAAAAAAAAAAAACAAAAAAGGGAAGAAGGCTGTCTTTCTACACAGATAAAATTCTCGTTAAAACAATAGTTTTAATAGGACCCCAATGAATAAAAACCTTATTTATTTATCTATTTATGTATTTTAAAAAAAAAGAATTCTCATTTAATATACTCTAATAATGCCCACAAGAAAAAATCACAGTAAGATTCCATTTATTTGTGTCGTGATTTTTATTTTTTTATATTTAATAATTGTTATTATAATAAGAAATTACTCTCCCTCTCATAATAATGAATAGTTTTTTTTTATTTAAAGTTTATTTTAAATTAATAGCCATTTTTTATATTTAAGGAAAATAATTTTTTTAACCTCATTATTATCTCTTAACTTTAATTATTCATTTTATTATAAAAAATTATTTCATCCAATATACCTACTTTCTAATTTAATGGTTTAAATTGAGTTGTCCACTTTTCTTTTTTAAAATATCATTTAATTTACTTATTATTTTTTACTTTCATTTTAAAAAAGATGATGACAACATATTTTTTTTATTCAAAAATAACTGTCATTTTAAATTTTGAATTTTACTTACATTAATTATTACTTTTTTATTTTTTAAGATAGATAAATATTTTTGTTATTTTAATTTTATCATTAATACTATATATATTATTTT